AGGTGGTAAAGAAATTGCATCAGCTGAAGGTACCACGCAAGGTGATCCGTTTGCCATGCCGTTATACGCCGTCGCCATTACTCCACTCCTGCTCATGATTAAATCTGTGAAGCTAGTGATGTAAGGCATGTTGCGTACGCGGATGACCTTAGTGGGCAGGTAAGCTAATGCAACTGCGTGCCTGGTGGGAGAAGATTGCCGTGCATGGTCCGAGTCTTGGTTACTACCCGCGAGCTGATAAATCCTGGTTGATTGTGAAGCCACACCTGGAGCAGACTGCCATTGAGATCTTCGCTGGAACTAATGTACGAATTTCAAGTGAAGGGCATAAGTACCTTGGAGGATATCTTGGATCGGATGACGGAAAAGATAAGTATATTAGTTCTTTAGTTAGTAAATGGTGCCAGCAACTTCACGTTTTGAGTGAAATTGCCAAATTCCAACCCCAAGCAGCATACACGGCGTTTGTCTCGGGTTTTCGGCACAGATTTACTTACCACATTCGTGCCGTTCCAGGTATCAAGACCGCGATGCAGCTTGTTGACGACACCATCAACCTGAAGCTCCTTCCTGCACTCCTCGATAACCGTAGCTTGTCCATCCATGAGCGACAATTGTTTCGCTTCCAGCTCGTATGGGAGGTCTTGGTATTCCGATCTTTAACGACATCTGTGATAAGAGCATTTGAACTCCACAACCATCTGTCATCTTCTCTCAAGTAGAATCATCCACCAGAATGGTACACCATCAGCAGAACATGGAGATTCCATCCACGATCTTCGCCGTGAGATTGCAAAACAACGTCAAGCTAGGAACTCGTTGCTGCTACAGAACTTGAGATCGAGCATGAGTGAAGAGCAGATTCGAGCAAATGACCTCGCCCAGTTGAAAGGATCCTCAGCTTGGCTAACTGCTCTGCCACTTGCTGAAGAGGGCTACATCTTGACCAAGCGTGAGTTCTTTGATGCAATCTACATGCGTTATCGATGGCCTTTGAAACGCCTTCCATCTTTCTGCGCTTGTGGAAAATCGTTCACGGTAGATCATGCCCTGTCGTGCCTGAAAGGAGGTTTTATCCATCGAAGACATAATGAGATCCGTGATCTACTTGCTGCTGCTATCGATGACGTTGCTTACGATGTTTCAATTGAACCTGCTCTTGCTCCTTTGACTGGCGAGGTTCTTCCATCCAGTGCTAACTCAGCCGATGACGCCAGAGTGGACATTGCTGCGAGAGGTTTCTGGCAGAGATGTGAAAAGGCATTTTTTGATGTAAGGGTGTTTAACCCATACGCCTCTACACATCGACGCCAGACGTTGAGCAGCTCGTTTAAAGCCAACGAACGGGAAAAGAAGCGACATTACAACCAACGGATTGTTGAGGTCGAGCATGGCTCCTTCACACCGGTCGTCTTCAGCGCCTTTGGCGGATGCGGAAGAGAGACCCAACATTTTCTCTCCTTCCTGGGTGCGAAGCTGGCTGACAAGAAGAATCATTCTCCATCTATGGTGGTTAGCTGGTTACGACGAAAGATCGCCTTTGCTTTGCTTAGAGCTCGCGTGGTGTGTGTTCGTGGCAGTCGAAGTTGGAGGACTGCGTCCATCACATCAACTAATGACATTACGTTGTCGGAATGGAACTCCAACATTAGCGAGTAGTCTAGTTAAGTTGTTTTTTTGTAAATAGTCTGTAGAACTATTATACTTAGTTTTAATGCATGATTGATTATTGTAAATTTCCCTAGTACGAATAATTTGTAACGCAAAGATCAATTAGCGTTGAGGAATATGGTGTAGTTCTAGTGGGTTCTTTAATTAGTTGTGTGAGGCCAAAAATTTCAAATATATCATTTAATTTATTAGCATTGGCTGATGTTGCTCCCGGCATAAGGTCCACATTTATGTCACCTAATAGAAAGTAGTCATGATTCGTCAAATCTACCTTCTGTATTATTTTCTCAAAATAATCAAAGTAATACGTTGGCAGATCTGGAGGTCGATACCAAGTGCTAATTAAAAGAGATTTAGACCGAGGCTTAGTTATTTCAACTGTTAAATATTCTAAATCGTCAGAGCTTAAATCATCGCAAATTTGTGTCTCTGGTATATAGTTTTTACTTATAACCACAGACATTCGTTTCGCTGTTGCTCTGCTCTTTGTTTATTCCTTAGTTCTTGCTATACGGAATTATGCCTGCTACCACTACCAGAGCGAGTACACGAGTGCAGAGGCGAGCACAACCAACCCGACTCGGCCGACCGCGACGATCGTCAGTCTTGCTCCGGTCCAGACACGGCTCCAGGTACATCGGGGACGGTGAATAACTTGTTACAGCCATTGTCTGAGCCAACTACCGCGCCAACAGCCAACACCACTGCGGGGTCTACCAGCCAGTTTACCCTCCCAGAGGCTACTCAGTGGGACAGCGCTATGGAATAGTCTACCAAAGCAAGCAAAGGAAACGAAATCTTTAGGCATCTTTAAAAATATGATAAAATAATGTAACTACTGAGTCAGACATCGATTATTCCTAGTTTATATCTTCTTTAATACTTACATGTTTATTCGTTTATATTATAATACTATTTTTAATACTTGTACTCCTTAATTATCTCGCTTGCAGGTTTCGAAGTTCAAATGGCTAGCTCCGGTGGGCGTTCGGCCAACCTTCCTTCCACACAATTGGCCACTATTACCTCGCGGTTAATTCAATCTAGTTTGCAGCCATCGTCAATCCCTACCTATCGCAGGGCATGGAAACTCTACAATCAGTTTTCATCTGCGCTTTTTCTTCAGACTTTGCTTTATTTATAGCATGAGATCATGTTTCAGCGCCATTATGCAGCCTCGACCGCGAATACCTATGTTTCTGCATTAGGTTATTGTCACCGTTTAGTGGGCGTGCATGACCCTACGAAGGTATTTTGGGTTTTCGAAATGTTGAAAGGATATGGTAAGCTTGGCTCCGGTGTTGATGTACGCCTTCCAATCACTATTTCTATCCTCCGCACCATTTTGCAACAGACTTCTCTTGTTTCATCTAGTGAATATCGCGCACTTTTATTTAAGGCAATTTGTACGACAGACTTTTTTGTCTTTTTGCGGGTAGGTGAAATGACGAGTTGCCCACGGTCTCCAGCCGTGCTTCAATTATCTCAAGTGGTTCAGATTGTTGATAATTTGAGTAATACTTCCGGTTTGAAAATCAATTTTGCGAACTACAAACATTCCTACAATCAACCTCGTGTTTCTCTTACACTTCATCGCCGTTCCGATATTTGCCCTGTGCAGACATTACTAGACTATTTTGTGAGTCGCGGTTTATCCGATGGCCCACTTTTTCGCACTCTCGATGGGCGCGCAGTAACACGCAGACTATTTACTGAGCATTTGGCTTTGATTTTTCGTGCATGTAGTCTTGACCCTGCTAAGTATAAGGGGCATAGTTTTCGAATTGGTGCAGCTACTTTCGCTGCGGAATGCAGTTTTTCTGACGCGCAAATCAGAGCAATAGGTAGGTGGAAATCCGACGCATTTCGCAAGTACATTCGTAGTCCGAACTTATCTTCGCGACCTATGTCGCGTCCTATATTGACATGAATCATTTGTTGCCTGGCGCCTGGCGGGGGTTGACCTTGGCTGCACACTTCGTAGTTCGTACTTATTTCGTTATATCTCACATTAGTTGCTACTACGATAACTACGATGAGACTCATTGGTAATCGTGCGCAATGCTGATACAGGGGTAAAGCTAGCGCTCTTCTACCTCATGTCACTATTTTCATATTGGCGACTCCGGTTGCAGATGCTCGGCCGGTCAATGCAGGGGCACGACTGGTTAGAGATCTGTACCTTTTCCTTACCGCGATTCTTTTATGTGGGTTTCTTATATGCATGTCTTATATATGACTTGTTTTGCTGATTTTATAAGTCTGCCTGTGAATACCTTGTCATGACGAGGTGGGGTTTGTCTCCTTTACCCAAGGAGCCTTGTGGCGTTTAAATTGGCCCCACCTTTTCTGTGCGAACTGTATAAACTGGGTAAAATTCATTCTGGGTAAACCTGCGGAGACAAGAAATTCAGGAGAAACCGTGAGGTTGTCGTGAAGTTTTCTGAAAACTGAATCTTGAAAATAGCGGTTCTTGCAAGAAATGGAAAAATGTCTGAAAAATCATATTGTAGATATTGACCCAACGATAAATAGAGAATGGATACATCAGGAATAGGAAGGATCAATTGAAATTGTATCAAAAACACGGGCAATTTTAGAGCGATTGAAAACCTCTACAACCCTTGACCATTTTTTTATATTTTTGAATATTGAAGAAAGTCCCCCCAAGGCGTGTTAAACAGGCAGAACTTCACGTTTAAAAGCTTGCTTTTAACACTCGTGTTCTTGAATACTTTCGGTCGACACAGTGTCTCACCCATCCAAGGAAAGTAAGCCCTCGTCCCATGCTTGTTCTTAGGTTTTCCGCCAGCCTCGTACCCAGGCGCTTTATTGGAAAACATAAAGGTTGCATTCAGCGTAATATAGAGATCTGTGGCTGAGATGTGCGAGCGCGCAGGGGTGCTTGGGGAGGACGCGGCAAATGAAGCTTCGTTCTCCCGTCGCGTCCTCCCCAAGCACCCCTGCGCGCTCGCACATCTCAGCCACAGATCTCTATATTACGCTGAATGCAACCTTTATGTTTTCCAATAAAGCGCCTGGGTACGAGGCTGGTTTTCCGCCCAAAGAGGTTGAGTGGGACACTAGGCTTTTTGGGCGAGAGCCTCATAAAGTTCCCCACCTAATTTAAGAGCCAGTTATACGCCCGTTACTTTCCGTGTTCGTCCGTCGGACGAAAGAATACGACCAATGAGGATCAAGGACGCGGAGCTAATTTGGGAGGCAAATTCGAATCTGAATTTTGGTCATGCCCTAGGCGCATGTCCCATGTGACTACGATTCTTCCACTTTTTTGATGTACCCTTCACGACGAAAGGACGAGAACGTCACATATTTTACAAGGAAAAACCCTGCTTAAACTTCTCTAAAATGACTTTGAAGAAAAAGACAAGAAGACGAAGTGAGTATAAGAATTAAATGATATTTTATCTGCGTTTACGTCAAAATGATGTGATATTACAATGAGTTAAGTTAGCGTGTTTATTTCTCTTAAAATACAGGCCGTTTATATGCGCTCGTTTCTTGAAATTATTGTCTTATTTCATCGTTATAATGCTTTACAATATTCATTGTTTGATTTGTGTAACTTATTCTTGATTTATCTTCAATTTTAGCTTCGTTAATTCGACGAGAACGTGTTCATTCAACGCCGACTTTAAAGTCACACCTTGGTAAGCACAAGGTCTATCTTAATAGCTTAGTTTCTCGTTTTGTTTCGTATTTTCTGCCCTAATTTGTTGTAGTAATGTTTTAAAACATCCTAGGATTTATTTGTGTAACTAAAGTTTACTTTATCTTCAATTTCAGGATGTAAAATTCGGCAATCTCGATAGAGTGGTCATGAGGCGATGGTATGTGTCGACAGCAGTAAACTTAAATCTTCAGAAATACCGTGTTTGATATCAAGGACTTGTCACAATAGTACTGCATGATATCAAACACGGTATTTCTGGAAAACGAAATGAACATTTTCATTCGAAGGGGTCCCTGGTGGTACTCGTTGTATCAAGCACCGTCACAAAGGATCGTTTATGGATATAAAGCGACGCCATGAAGGCGGATGAAAGAGGGATCACCCTAGGTATACATTTTTCTTGTTAGCCTGAGTTCAGGCAATGGTTAATTTGGTACCCAGGACTAATGTTGTGTGTGGTATGTGCATGTAAGTTCTGGGTACACTACCTCGGTCAAAACCTGGTGATCAACTACCGCACACTCAGGGACATTCCTTTTCAGGGCGGTTGCTCGTGTGCTATTATTTTCATGTCCTTTAAACATCTAATATACAGATTTCTTGAATATTACCATTGTCTAAAGTCTTCATAGGTTAAGTTCTCTCTCTCTTGCGGGCAGACTTCATTCAATGTTCATTCTTTTTGTCTGCATATTTGGTATCTACAGTTCATGAAAGAATGGTACACGAGCATCCTGCGCTAAACAGGAAGAGCAGTGAGTTTAGAAAATGCGATGCCGCAGCGCTGCAAACACTCACTTCAAATGATCTATCAAAGTTTTTTTTCTCCAGGAAAATGAATTCTGTTTTTCTGTTAGAATGCTTTAAATATATGAATGGCTTGATTGCGCAAAACTGCAAGCGAAATATGAACTGAACTGAAAGCTGTAAAATTTAATCGCAGAAATATATTGCAAGCAAGCCATTCCTGTACGACAAATTTGAATAAAAGGGCTTCAAGTTGTTAAGATATTCACAGTTATCAAGTTTTGCAGGCGCATTAATTGTGAATGTATAAAAGAAGTGTTGATATGAGATTCTCCGATAAGAAGACAAGAAGTTTCTTTTCGTATCAATCGTCGCATGCAGCGCGCTAAGCTTTAAAAATTTTTAATCAAATGATCGCCAGGTTTGTGGAGTATTTTCATGTGTTTCTTTGTTGACGGGCGACTGATTTGAAAAACGAAACTTTGTCCTTAAACATGGCGAACTTTGAAAAGTCTCTGCGGTTTAAGCTCGTGAATGACCGTCTTAGTCACGTGGTATTGTGTTTCCATCATGTTTCCATTCTGCGCGGTTTCCGTGAAGTTGTCAAACATTAGCTTGGTCGAACTTAAACTTAACGTAAGCAGCTAGGTTTGGGTACAATGCGTAGCACTCAATGATGTGTGCTTCAGGCAGTCTTCCTTTACAAAACTGAGCAACAGCCACGCAATAATCATAAACACTGCACTCGCGTATAAAGTAAAGTCGTGCAGCGCTCTGCAAAGATAAAAGCTTCACGCTATAGCACACACATCATAAAATTGCACCCAAGTGTTCTGATTCAGTGTAATTGGGTTCATATCTTTCAATAATCAATGTTGGAAATATTTTCTTATATCGTTCCCTTCAATACAAAAAAATTAGTTGCGGCTGCAAGCTCTTAAAATTCGGTATTTTTTTTTGCGTTGTGCGTGATGCAGGCTTCGGTTGTTTGTTTTAATTGTAAATAATTTTTGATAACAATTCACAGAACAATTTTTTGCACCTAGAAGGCAAATGTTTTTCTGACACTTTGCACAAAGCAAAGATCATTCGCTTTAACATATTCTGCTTTTTTTGCTCAAGTTTTAGTGTCTTTTGTCCATTGTATATCTGTCGGGGTATAGGTTGAACCATGCACGAGCTGGACAATTGTTTAAAACATATTTTTTGATACTGGTGGCAAATTTCTTTGCAACAACGACAATGCATGTCTCATGGGTTGGTTTGTATGAAGATGATCCAGACCTGGTACCCAAGCTGGCTTAAATGCTTTCCTCAGACGAAATTCATACCCTTTTTATAATAGGAAGATCTTCGGACGAGGTGGATCGCTAAGACAAAGCATTAATATTAGTAGTAAAAAGTTTATTTTAGCCTAGGCTAGGGGCTGTTTACATGATCCTGGTTAACGAAGCGCAAGATTGCTTTGAGGTATTGAAAATTGAAATAAGTATATATAACAAGATCCTGGCAATCATGTAATAAATCTCCCACACAATATCATGTGTTTCTTTGCTGTCAAACTGACTCAAACAGTCAAAGTGATCTCACACTTGAATATCAGCTCAGCAGCTTAAAGTTTCTTTCCTGAGACGAAATTTATCCTGTGTTTATATCGCAAGGTCTTTGGTCGAGGTGGATCACAACACAAAGGATTAAAATTAGCTGAAAAAGTTTATTTTAAATACACAATGCTTGCATGTCGTATGTTAAACATACAACTGTTCAGTGCGTTTATTTAAAGAAATCTACCTTACAAATTATTTAAACTACAAAATACAAATTATTAGAATTACAATCATATACAATCAAGAAACTATTTACAAAGCAATAAAAACCTTGTCAGAAACTACAAACACTGATTGACTTTTTAAACAGTGGAAATGCAAACTGATTTACTAAATTTATTGGTAAAAAAATCCAACATAAATTTCTCATAAACTTCTCATCAACACAGGCAAAATATATTCCACAAAAAACATTTCAAATAACATTTGCTCGTATAAAAAACTATGAGAGTAAAATAACCAATGTGTCGTGTAGAAAAATATTAATATGATTTGCCTGTTATATACAGCTTAACAAAAACATTTGACGCATTTTACAAGATTGCAGCCATTACGACTTTACATTTAGTAAAACAGTTTGCAGTTGTCACTCTTAGCATCACTTAAACTTTTAATATCTTCAGTTTTTAAATCATTGTTACTTACATTTAGTTTAGTAAGTTTACAGTTGTCATTCTTCAAAGCATCACTTAAATATTTAGCACCTTCAGTTTTTAAATCATTGTGATTTACATTTAGTTCAGTAAGTTTACAGTTGTCATTCTTCAAAGCATCACATAAATATTTAACACCTTCAGTTTTTAAATCATTGTGACTTACATCTAGTTCAGTAAGTTTACAGTTGTCATTCTTCAAAGCATCACTTAAATATTTAGCACCTTCAGTTTTTAAATAATCGCGACTTACATTTAGTTCAGTAAGTTTACAGTTGTCATCCTTTAAAGCATCACTTAAATATTTAGCACCTTCAGTTTTTAAATCATTGTGGCTTACATCTAGTACAGTAAGTTTACAGTTGTCATTCTTTAAAGCATCACTTAAATATTTAGCACCTTCAGTTTTTAAATCATTGCGACTTACATCTAGTTCAGTAAGTTTACAGTTGTGACTCTTCAAAGCATCACTTAAATATTTAACACCTTCAGTTTTTAAATAATCGCGACTTACATTTAGTTCAGTAAGTTTACAGTTGTCATTCTTCAATGCATCACTTAAATATTTAGCAGCTTCAGTTTTTAAATCATTGCCACTTACATGTAGTTTAGTAAGTTTACAGTTGTCATTCTTCAAAGCATCACTTAAATATTTAACACCTTCAGTTTTTAAATCATTGACACTTACATATAGTTCAGTAAGTTTACAGTTGTCACTCTTCAAAGCATCACTTAAATATTTAGCAGCTTCAGTTTTTAAATCATTGCCACTTACATCTAGTTTAGTAAGTTTACAGTTGTCATTCTTCAAAGCATCACTTAAATATTTAGCACCTTCAGTTGTTAAATCATTGCCACTTACATTTAGTTCAGTAAGTTCACAGTTGTCACTCTCCAGGTCATGGTTATCTTTCTTCAAAAACTCAGCCAATTCACGGATAGTAATGTTCGTCACAGTACAATGAGTGATTTCAAGCTTTTTCAAGTTCTTGATGTGGCTTAAAAATTTGAACAAAGCCATAGATTCTGCTGGTGCAATATTTAATCCATGCAAAGTAAATGTTTCATGATCATCCTCAGACGCAAACGATGAAATCATTTTCATGACGCGATCTTCTTGCATTTCCCAAACACTTTTTATCACGAGTAAACCTTTGTCATTACTCTCGTCAATACGTCGTTTCTTTGGCATCCAGTCTTGAAATCTAGATTAAGATATTTTAAGAGAAAATTTCAGAAGTTTAGGATTATATTTCACTGAAGAGAACTTCGTAGTATTAAATGGCCATTTTATCAGAGAAAATTAATTCACAGCGTAAAAACGACAACAACACAGACAAGTGATTTTGTTTTTTGTACAAAATTATAAAAATATCAACTTCTTAAAAAAATATTAATTTTGTGACCGCTTTTTTTCTTCAGGACGACGTTAAAATGTTTTTTACCCAGTTTTTTCCAGCTGCCAAAAATTGAAGGTTTTCGACTTCGGATGTACGAAACAAAAACTATTTTAAATTCGTAGTAAATTATTACCTCATATTGTAGAATTACGGCAACAAAACGTCATTTAAATGTTTTAAATATATCCATTCAAGTAATCTCAACTTTCCCTTCTTTCTTTTTAATAATCTTGAATCGTTTTTCAAAGGTTTTTTGGTTCGTTTTTTATAAAATGTCAGGGAAAAAATGAGCCGCAGCCGAGTGTCACGTGAATCACTGATTAGCCAATCATATCGCTTCAAACCACCTCAACTGACACGTGCTTGTCCTATAATGAATATTTCATTGTACAGCATGCAAAACTATTGACTAGGAAACTGCACTGGAATCAATCAAAGTCATCAAAAGTTATAATTTCATTTAAACATCTTATAACAGTTATAATTATGTTCAGAATTGTGTGAATAAAAAATAAGTACAGCAACAACCTTTCACAGAATTGGCTGATCAGAATTATTTGTATGCAACAGGCAGAAGTTTTATCAACCTTGGAAAATCCCCAGAGAAAATGTTTTCTTGAGGTAAATTGATGCATCATCACACAGAAATTATTTATCAGCCTAATGCAATATGCCATTATAAATTGTAACAAATTTATACCTTTTGCATGTACGTTCAATCACTTCATTCAGTTCATTGTCTTCTAGCTCTGCTGACCTGATAAAATTATATGTTATAGTCGATTTAGTACAAACACAAAAAGGTATATCCATACTTTTTTTACTTTGAAAAATACAAAAACAAAATTGGAAAGTGAAAGTTGCTATCTTACTTATAAATCCCAGCATTCATTATTTACCACATTAAATTTACAAAATTAATTTTACCAAAAAGGTTTAAAACACCAAAATTTGCACTTCTCACACCCAAATGCATTTCTATCCGTGCATGGGAAAACTAATACCATGTGTATTGGTTATATGGAGAGTTTTTGCTCCATCAACCAAGGGCTTCATCAGTGCAATACAATGATGAAAAGATGATATAAAAAGATTCCCTTAGATACAGATGGCTATCAAATTGAGGTGTGACTATACAATATAACTGGCTACTGTATTACTTTTTTTTAACTAATTTGAAGAAAATTGAGACATACCTTGACCCCACCATCCTATCTGCAAGTAATCCAGCTACAAACTGGATCACCAAATGCCACCTGGGTTCATCAATGTGATCAGATAAAAATGTTTCAACATTTCTAATATCATCAACCACATGTAGTGCAGCTAGAAACTCTTGAATTGTAAGATGAAGGAAAGAATAGAGGTACCGATCTCTATCTTCTAACTGATAAAATACACCAGAATCTGCTAAGCCAACCACATATTTATCGCTGCTTTTAAACTCGAAAACTAACTGATCGTTTTCCATTCCATCGCTTGCAATTTTCTTCAACCTGTCCAGGTCTGTTTGAAGCAGTTGTGGAAATTCTGCAGTCAAGTAATCCTTTGGGACTTTTTCATTCCTGTATTTTGAATTGTGTTTTAACAGCAAAATCTTTATAGCTCTTTTGTACAGTTCAGTCATTGTTTTAGGAATCTTGCTGTAGCTTTCATCCTTCACATGTTGATCAAAATCAATGCTTTCATATAATGTCAAGCACACTATATAAGAATTGACAGGTATGTAACAGAAGCTTAATAGTTCTGGCGAACTCTTGATTACTTGCCACATCTCTGAACTTTTCCTATCATTATCGCAAAACATTTTAACATACTTTTCTATTTGTTCCTCATTAAAACCCAGTATCTCCACTTCCCGATCAAACTTTAGATACTGATAAATATCTTCTGCTGTAGGTCGAGATGTGATTAACACAGTAGCTCCAGGCAATAGTTTTTCTTCCACCAGCTGTTTAAGGATAAGAAAAATATGACACACTTTGTCTGGGCTGTTTACGATCTTCTCATCAGTTTTGTCAACTTTAAGTTCATCTAAGCCATCAAAAACGAGAATCACATCACTTGGGTTCCTGCAAACATATTCATAGATGGTCATGTTGCAATGAGCTGGCATAACAGAACCATGAACCTGACTTAATATTTCTTTAAGACTTGTTTCTCCCTTGTTAAAATCACGCAGTTGAATCAATAGTACAATTCTTCCATGCCAGAATCTTTCTAAGCGTTTTTGACACTCCTGAAATATTTTTCTTGTCAGTAGAGTTTTTCCAATTCCAGGTCTACCCACCACAAGAACAGTTCTAGGTTGTTTCTCAGGTTCTGCTGCTTGAAATAATTCTGCTGTACTATCGAGGGGTTTTGCATTAGGGAGTTTTTCTAAACGAGCTTTATAAATCTCATGTCTATCTTTATATCTTCTCCTGGAATTATAGGTTGTTTCCCTTCCATCTTGAATCATAACATTAATATAGATCTCCTCCAGTTTTCGATCTGACAAACGTTTCCCTCCAAAGATCGCAGTCAGGTCAAATAAATTTTTAGATTGCATTGATTGAATTATTTCGTTTATTTCTAGGATAGTTTTGGTTCGTTTTCGTAAAAGGTACACGCTAATGAACTCCTGATCAGTATGGAAAGTTGGTCTCTTCAATGCCGACCACAACAGATAAACAATCTCAACGAGTGTCACTGTATCCAGGAGAAAATTTATCGTGATAAAGCCGACAACAACATATTGTTTCTTCCCAGCCATTGAATAAGTGCAGTCCACAAATGAAGAATTCGTAGTTGACCGTGTGACGTTCTCATGGGAAGTACTAGTTGTTGTTTTCATATTGGGCACAGGACATTCAAAATGGGTCGGAAAATTGGACGAGGTTAAGAGAAATGCAGAGAATACTGTCAGTGGTATTATACGACAAACGATCAAATGGATTATGTAAGCCATAAATACAAAATAACGACGATTACTACCTCGATAGACTTCCGGTGTGGCTGGCGATGCTTCAGACTGTAGTGACTGGCTTTCTTCTACACCCTCGTTCGTCGTTGTGTTTGGATTATTTGCGAAGATGTCGACTCTATGTTTCACCAGGTAACCATAAACAACGCTCAACACAACGACAAGTCCAAAGCTTATCACAATCTGGACATTGAGAGATAACGAAGGGAGGAATTCTTGGGCATATTGAAGACGACATTGTGTTTCAATGTACTTCCCCTTGAATAAAGAGCTCGTGAGGTCACATTCCAGACTTGATTTCGACTCGTAATCACTCGCGATTCCAATTAGAACAACACCAATTGCTACAAACAAACCAAGAACTACTGAACTGTAGGTATTGTAACAATTACGAGGAATCAGTTTTAAGCAAACCTCCATGTCTGTAATTTACTAATTTTGCCAGAAGATTAGATTTGATCACATGACGACCACCCTGCTGTTATTTTGCACCAACACCCTTTTTAAACATGAGACGCACACAATGGACTGAATTCGCGATGGAGTTGAGGCCGTATAGCATCGCGTCGTCTCTGTGATAACTCAAAGCTGATGTGTCCCAGTAGGGCAATAACATCGGCATTCATGCGGACTAACTGAGCAATATCGAGGGCGCTGGAGTCAGCGCGAGCAGCTAGTAGAGTATTGGTGGTTTGCGCTGTTATATGGCCAACTTTTGTCAACGCTGATTGAAGGGAGCTCAGTTGTAGGTCGCGCCCTCTCGTAGAGCGGTCAAGTTTGCTCCAAATTTCTGGGTTAACTTTCGGGACGATGAGTCGCTCGCAATTTTCCGGTCGAAAGTATTTATTGTGTTGTTCTTTAAGCTGGTCATCGTTGAGCTTGTTTAACCACCGCTTGTTTATAATGTTGGCAAGCTGTGGTGTAATTTTAGGAGAGGTTTTCTCCGTTTCCTCAAGGACCTGAGTGATCATCAAGCAAAGGGTCAGCCTCGTCTTCGTCGTTTGGTCGTTTCTTTTTCTCTGGCCCGTTCTCGGTCGAGGCAAGGAGCGTTTCGCTAGAGGACCCTTGGCCTGATTCAGGCTGTGAGTCGCTGGCATTCCTCTTCCGGGCAGATTCTGCCGTTTGGAAGGGATCCTGAGATGACTGCAAGCCTTTGAGTGATTCACTCATGGCTGCAATAGCTTGGCTCATAGTGGTCAACGCGGAGGTTATACTTTGTTCGTCTTGCAGTGCTGGGGTTTCGTGATCTTCAAAACCTTCTCCGAGAAGTTCTTCTGCGTCGTCAATCACACTATCTTGATGTTTATTTTATATTTTGACATAGGTAATTGGAACCATATTGTAGTTCTTATATAGTTATAAGTTAATTTGTAACAATTGTCTGAATTAGACAAACTAGAGAAAAAAAAGGGACGTTATGTGTATGTGGGCTAAAGGGGAACATAATGAGTAATTTGTTGAATGGTTAATTGCGAATTGAGGGGCGTAGAAATAGAAATAAAAATAACCAGATGGGGTAGTTTGGAATTTGTTGGACAACCGCCAACCATGTGGTGTGTTTGAAATAAAATTTTTTTAAAAAGGGGGTTATGTTTGTTTATGATGGAGTTCTTCAAGAAACTATGTAGTTGCGTTTGTAGTAATAGGTTGTGTAGCGTTATTGGTGGTGTTTAAGTCAAGGTTATGTAAGGAGGTAGGTAGAAAAGTAAAACAGAAGACAAGAAGGCAAGCGTGCGAATCAGTATCCCCGTACGCGGCGTTTCATCCTTTTGCGGACTCGTCAGCGGGGAGCAGGGTTGGCTTTGTGTGAAGGAACAATGAAGATAAGAAGTGAGTAAAAGTGGTGTGTGTTTGTAGGAGAATCATAAAGAATCAAGGTTAAAGTTATCAAACCTGCGTGAGAGTGTATTCGTAAAAGGCAAAATGGTAAAATTAAACTGTGTGTCTTACCAAAGTTGTTGTTGACTTTAGATAAACCAACGCGGTGAGCCATCTCAGGGTTGATGTGAAATCGAGTGTAATTTTACTTAAAAATTGTTTTGAATTGCTTGACAGCAGAGCTTGTGTTCGAGCTTGTATCCGTTCAAGAGACTTGATCGAAAAGCAGTGCTTCCACAATTGATTTACCAAATTTCCTTTTGAGATGCTAAAAAATCCTTTTTTCCAAAAATATTTCCTTGCCAAAATTTCCAAATTTCCTTGCAAATTCCTTGCAAATAGCGGCCTTAATGGAACAAATTTTTCTCAGTGACAAAATAAACAATATTTTTTTAAGTGATACAGCTGAAATATATTCCATATACAAAAATACTTCCAAAATTCATCCAAAAATTTGGTCACTTTTTATTAAATTAACCACAGAAACTTTGATAGAAGTGTAAAATAGGCGTAGAGTATTTGGGGGGGGGGGGGGCTGAGGGCTAGAACCCCCCGAGAAATTTTAGGGTAAAAAATTTACTAGGTAATAATTGCATCATATAGCAATGTTGAATCTTTAAAAAGACATCCTTATATACACATGAAACAGTTTTATTAGTGAATATAATAACATATAATAATATATCAAACAACTTAGAAAAGCAATTCTGAAATACGAAGTTTAGATCCGCAGCCACTACTTTCTGTATTCCTCATTTTATACAGGGAGACTTTTAGCTGGGCTTACATGAAGTCTATACCTTGGTTAGCCAAGCTTTAAGCCCCCCTCCCGGAAGAAAACAAAACCCTACACCTATGAGTGAGGAAAATGGTTATATACTTGAAGAACCAAATCTTTGCAAACTTATTATTTTTTATTCAATTTTAAGTCTAATATAAACAATTTTCAAGATTTCCTTGCAATTTCCTTGCCCAGGCTAAAATTTCCTGTCCATTTCCTCCTCAATTTTATTTCCTTGCCTTTTTCCTTGAAAAAGCCAAAATTTCCTTTTGCAGGGAAATTTCCTTGCAAGTGGAAGCCCTGTCGAAAAGGGGTCAAGGATTGCACGTGTGTGCATAAAATGCGTTAATATGTTACGTCACTGAGGTCAGGTGTCAAAGTCTGTGTTGGGGATAGTGGGGGTTTACGTGTCAATTATGGTTGTGTGTGGACATCCGAGGTTTAAATGTGTTTTGGTTGTAAGTTGTACTTCATGTAGTATGGTTGGTTATAATTGTTGAAGTTCCGTTTTATCACCGTAGTCATGAAATAAAAAATTGGGTTGAAATCCATTTCTCACATTAGATGTTCAATTTTATGGAGAGGTACTATATTTTTTGTGATCATTTTCTGATTTTAATGTAAATGCCTGAGTTTAGAAATTACATGCGATATTAATTAATGCAGCCAGAAATTCTGACAGATATTTTATTATACAGTAGGGATAGGTTTACTAGGGGTGTATGCCCACTATTCTTGGCCAAGTGAGGTAAAAAGGTGTGTGTGCAGGTTTGTCAATTAAATTCTAGGCAACAGAGCACCAATTGACAACACTCAGCCTTATACAGGACATGCTGGCATGTTATAGTGAATCACTGTATTCAAGCAAAACTAAATGACTTGTCTTAATTTGCATGTGGTTATCTTTTAAATAGCAAGCACAGGATTACGGAGGTCCTCGGAAGGAGTTTTTCAGATTAACAATGATGGAAATAAAAGAAAAATATTTCGACAATGGACTACGAGAGCTGTTAGCTGATGAATATACTTGTGTGGGAACCATTATGGGTAAGCTTAAAGAAAGAACATATTGTAAAACAGCAATCAGTATTGTTAATTATTAAGGAAACGACATTAATATTTGATTTTGATGACAGAACTTAACAGAGGTGTCATATATTAAAAATGACAGTTGAGTACAGTAGCTGGTATGATAGTCTTAATAAGGAAACCTAAAACAAAATGCAAATTACATTCTGCACTGCCAGCATGAATGTTGAAATAACATTATGCCTGTCAGTCTTTTCACTTATTGTTTATATATTCTTCTGTAAATGCAGGATTAAGTGTGCTTCAAAACGGCAAACTTCCACAATTTTTGTCTGAAGATACCATCGATAGAATATTTGACCCAGAGTGCACTTCTCAATCCTTGATCAATTTACAAAATGGCTTAGAAAAACTTGGCCTGTTCCAGGTAATCATCTGAGTAAATGAATGAACAAATAAACTAAAAAATACTTTCGGCATTACTCGTATGTTTTGTAAATCACGGGCCAGTAAAAAATGCTGATAAAACTTTATTGTATAGGTAGAAAAAAACTTTGTAATGGCTCTATACGTAAGAACTACACACTATGACAGTTAGTTTAATTTATCATTTAATATTAGCCTGTGTAGCTGGCAGTAATAAGGGCATGGAGTTGTATTGGGGTCTGGCTTCAATCCTGCGGGTTTGCATTTGAGGTGCGCACAATAATAAAGCGAAAAATTTGAGCTAAAAAAATAGGAAAGTAGAAGGCGCACATGGGAAAACCCTGTGGAGTGTTTCCCATTCCCCACCTCACCTCCCTAATTTTCTCAGCATATGGTATATTTATTTTTTTGTCGTGCATGTCCCACCTTAGACAATTAAGGAAATGCGAATTTTTTTGATTGTCTATTGCGCCACAAAACCCAAACCATCAGCATGAAGCCATACCCCAATCTCCTAACGCCTATGGCTATGCAGGCTAATTTCATTTGTTTCATTACATTAGTTTAACGTTTCATCAACCCAGCAAAAAGCTCTGATAAAGAATTGAATGTACATTTGGGATTTCATTATATCTGTGTGTTTGTAGATGTTTTCCCATTTATGACCAGGCAGGCAGTTATGCTCAAGTTTTCAGGTCTCTGTTCATTATAGAGCAAATTTTGTTCTTTTTTTAGATTTGCAAACAAATACCAACACTAAGAGAGATCTTTAGACCTAATCCATCGTCTGTACTCACAATGCGAAAACTGAATGCTTTATTGACGCCAGACTTCAGCCCAGTTGGCTCTAATAAAAGGACCTATGAAACTGCTGTTTATACAGTGTTGTGTAAATACATGCGGCATGTAGCTGGTGAGATTCGACTATACATATACTGTACAGGGTGTATAAAAAAGGGTAGTTCAACATCAGCACGCTACAGTGCGTCAAGTACTTGGTCAACATGCTTAATTGTTGGATATTAAGATAGATCAGGCTATAACTCTCGAATGACACCTTTTTCGTACAATAAGGAGAAGAAATGAGCAAATACGAGCTCGATTCCACTTCTGTGGGTTGAGTAAATAAACTATTGAAATTCCACGCCTACACTGTACTTGACCTACGTTTGTCCAATATGCTTAATTAATTATTCGAAAATCCTTTAGGAAAAGGCATCTTTTACAAATTCGTGGTTGATTCCTGATCTATTCTAATGTAAAAAATAGCACTTGTTAGTCATGTAATTTACGCACAATGTCGTGTTAAAGTTTGAGTATCTTCTTTTTATACATCCTGTATATTTCATATACGCTCCCTATATACCGTTGTCATTTTTGAACATAAATATAGTTTTACTTTTATGGTGTTTACAGTATCAAGAAATTATGACGTTTTTCCTAGTTTTGCGTTGCTTTTAAGTATAAACAAACTTTCTTTTTTTTTCTAGCTGGAAGACGGGGTGACATAACACTAGGTTCTATCCTACAATTTGCCACGGCAAGTGACGAAGAACCATTGCTTGGATTTAAGCTGGCACCCTCGATTAGGTTTTTTGAAATGACAAAGTCCTTCCTTCCCACATCCAACACCTGCATCAATGCCTTGCAATTACCTTACGCATCGCATAATACCATATCATTACCAGATGATGATACATTGTTTAGTTTATATGACGAGGCTTTCGCCAGCGCACACTTTGGCAATGTCTAATCGCAAAGTGTTACAGTTAGGACACGAAGTAAACCTTTATTCAGATTTACGTCGTACTAAAGTTTTATAAATTTACAAACTGCATATACGATTTTTTTCATTGACTGGTGTTCCTTAATTTGTTATATGATATTTACAGTTACAATAAAGCCATGTTTACATTCCTTTGAATAATTTCAAGAGCTAACATATATCGCTCAATTTTGTAATCATCACCTTGTAAAGTAATAGAAGCAAGTTCAGATCTGCAGTCTTCATTAAGTTCTAGAATCGGAGGGGAAAATATTGGTCGTTCTTCTTCGAATTCGTCATAATTGCCTTCAACATTTCCTTCTATTCCAAGGTTTTGCCAATTATTTAATGATTCATCAAGTCCAGTGGGATTCTGAGCTTGACCAGCAACCCATAGTCGAAAAGGGCTTGATTTTGTGGTTCGCATCCGGTGATTTGCCCATGCTCTTTGCCAGATTTTGAGTTTATTGTTTATTTCTTCCATGTAAACAAAATGGAGGGCAGCAATATGTACGGCATTAAATGGATCAAGAATTAGCTGATCTTCAAGGAAATAGAATAGGTTATAATAGTAGCTCAAAACACCTTGGAAAACATCTCGCCAAAGTCTCTCTATCCTTTGGTTATGAGTACTGGGACCGGTGATGATACTTCCGCGATTTCTCCCTTTTTTTTCGATCATGAAATCTGCAATGCGGACATTCTCCAAACCTTTGTCGGTCCTTACTCGGCTGGGTAAACCGTACTCAGAAATTGCATCCAAAAAGCATGAAAGTAATGTATCGGCTTTGTTATTGTTAGTGCAGATTAACATTACTGGCAGCCGACTAAAACCATCAATCCCCCCCACAATTATGAAATTCCACCTCACCAGCTTGTGGTTCGTGTCCACGTGCCATAAATGATTGGGCCCCTTGACGTTGTACACGCGACGATGTAATCTTCCCCTTTTCCTATCTTCGACACCTTCACTATCAACATGATGTATGGAATCTCGCAGCCTTGTTCTTTGAACTCTGATGCCTTTCTGTTCCAAAAACTGCTGGAACATTTTTTCCCACAAAATGGAAAATCTTTCGCAATTTCCCTTACGTAGACATCCAACTGCTCTTCAGAAATGTCAGAAAAAGTGCGTTTGCTTAGACCATAGCATGACATCCGACGATATATGGTGCTTTCGGATACAGACAACATCGAAGCTATTTCGCTTATCAAAAAACCTTCATCTAGGAAGCTTTCAAGTATTTCTTTCGGGATTTCATACTTCAGCGAGCGGTTACTTCGAGTTGGCTGGCTTTCTCCATATTTGGTGCATTCAACTCGAAGTGCCATAATATCGCTATGATTACGTAAGCCCAACTGATTAATTTCGGACAAGGAAAGCATACAAACAATATCTGGGGTTATATTTTCATCTACAAATCGTTGGATTAGTGATGAAAGACTTAATTTCTCCAGAATATTCGACATTGTTAGCAATGACGCCATTTTGTTGCGAATTAAAAAAAAAAGGGTTATGCTAAGAATTTATGTCATAAAGAATTTATGTCATAACGAAAATATGTCATAATGATGTTATGTCATAATGAAGTTATGTCGTAAAGAAAATACGTCCTAACGAAATGTCATGTCATAATGAAGTTTTGACATAATGACATTTGCACCGCATATAATAGCATTTGCACAGCATATAATAGCATTTGCACAGCATATAATGACATTTGCACGGCATATAATGATTTTTCGACCGCATATAATGCAGTTAAGATCCCATGTAATTGCGTTTGGACCACATAAAATGACAAAAGCACATGATGTATAAAAAACAGATCACCTAAGACAGTCATGGCATTCCATAGAAAAAAGTTTTCGCACAACTGATCGCTAGAAATACTATGCTCGAACTGATTGCTAGATCGCGCGGCAGACGCGCGCGCTCTATCTCACGTGACTTTCTAGTGACGTATAACAATGACGAAATAGAATTACACCCTACCCTCCAGTTCTTCCAGTTCTCAATCTCGTAGATCACGAGATTGTCATGTGATTATGGACCCTAAAGTTAAAGGTCTGTTCACACCGTCCAATACACGATCCAATTTTTTTGGATCCAATTCACTTCTGATGGATGTTTTATAGTCCGTTGTCTTGTAATGTATATCATCAGCAAATCCCTGAAGCCAATGCAGTGCTGCTTTGAGAATTGTATAATTTTTCATTGTTTCTTCTAAATTCTAAAACGTCATCATATTTAGGAAGGTATTTTCAATAAATTCGCACACTGAGTCGAAGCTGTAAAGGCTACAGTATTATGTGTATGACCTACACACAGCTTATTAAAGTGATTATCAATGATAGCTAAATCTGTTTGACTTACTAGCCAACTATTGTACAAATGTACTGCATGTACTTTGTAGACTATGTTCAACGCATAACCTAATTGTCAAAATATTTGATTCGTTGCCCCTGTAGTCAAACAGTGTTACATCAGAGCGGACTCTTCAAAAGAAAAGTTGCTAAAAAGAAAATTAAAGAAAGTTTGTCCTCTGTATGTGATAGATGAAAGAGCTCATGTATATTTATAGATAAGGAAGGGTGTTTAAACAAATTTTTTTTCTACTACCATGCACGTACCTCCAATGTGCTCCAAATTCATTGAAAGAGTTCCACTGATCGAAATCATAACTGCAATTTTTATTATTATTGCCACACAAACCTTCGCTTGGATGCTCAAGATCAGTAGGTGCCCAAACGTAAATATTTAGCCCCCAGCTTCGACGGTCCACGATGACTTTCACACCAGACGGCAAGGTTATACCGATATATACTTTACAGAAATGGATACACCATTAATTTTTTTTATTCGAAACGTTAGAATAAAATTTATCATACATTTTTTCGTCTATTTTTTATACTGGATAGCTCTATCAGTTCTAAACTGTTCTTCCTAGAGGTCCAGTAAGGATCATCTCTTATTGATCCAGTATTACTACAGCAGGAAACCTAAACTAAACTAACTTTATTTATACTGGATATCTCTTTTTCCTCTCATCTTCATTCCGACTTTTCACAGCTTCTTCTATGTTCGTGGCGCTGGGTACTATCACTGCCTTTGAGCTACCACAACCCATCCCGGATTTTCAATCGTTTGGTTAATAAAACAGGGCAATTTAATTGCAAGTTCGAGATTCTAACCGTAATAGCCTTTAAAAAACGCTTTGTTTTGTTGCCAAATGAACCAGTTGGTTTAAAGATTCTCGGAGCAAGCTTCGTTCCTCGACGTGTCTTACCGCCTTGCTGTATCTAACATATTGTTTGTGTTGTTCGCTGTGAACGTGGATATAAGCATGGAAATTTGAATGAGAGAGGCCGTGTTTGTTGTGTTTCTGTTGCTTAGTGATGTGGTTTGTGGTTCCGACTTCGAGGATTAAATCAAGGCTATCAGGTTACCACGCGCGACGAGTTTTACTGTTGAATTACGCGATCCTCGAGACCCGACAAAAGCAACCATTTCGTTCTGAAACTGCCAGGAATTCAGCTCAGAACTAAAGTCGTAATAATTCATTTTGAAAAGCTCTAAAAATTTGCTTTTAAAGTTTACAAGTGTAGATCACATGTAAATATACTAAACAGCGGAGGAAAAAGTCAAGCGCGAGGAATCGACTAGAAAATTTGTTATACGTCAGTTCGTAGAGTACAACAGCACAGTACAGCGGACTCAAATGCTCAGTAATAATATTGTTTTATGAATCAATTTACATAATAAAAACTGGGACTTTGCCCTAAAGTGGAGTACGACAAACATGGTAACGTATTACATATGGCGTATGGCCTATACATGAATTATTTCAGTTGAATGAGACTATAACTGGATATAAAAAGTCTCGAGTGCAGTTAAAACTATATCTAACATGCTGGAAAATTAGACTAAAGTACTCCTATCATAAGTGTATACTGATTGTTAATTATTATGTAGAATATATGTTAGTCAATCGTCAGTAGGAGTAGGATATGACATGATGACATCAGAGCGTAAAGCTTTGCTTAAGATGTCTCTTCTTCGGTGCACACTTCGTTATTACGATAAACTTCTAAATCCATCGCATCAGGTTCTTTCCCTGGATTTCCAATTTCATCCGCATTTAAAACCTTGGCTGCCTCAGGTTGATTCGCGACTGTGTAAGGTTCCGGATATTTGTTTATCCTGGCTTTTCCGCTGTTTCTCTTACGTCGTCTTCCAAAGCAGATTGCTACGATTGTGCCCAGGATGAGAACGACGATCACGACCACAATAACAATGAAGATAGTTTTGTCCAACCCCAGGATCCTGTCTTCCGTCGATGAGTTGTCTTTATCTAAAGATTCATATTCAGTGCTTGTAACTCGAAACTAACTTGACTTTTTACTGTCTGATCCAATGTATTTCATGCATCTAATTATCTCCCAACACAATTCTGATAGAGGTATCCAGTATAAGCAACACTGGATGAATAAAAGATGATATTTACTGGATCTCTAGGAAGAACAGTTTAGAACAGATACGAATATTTGATGGCCTACCATCTAAACGCTGAATTTCAAAAGTCATATTTCCCAGTTTTCCAGTGTTAGCCACTTTTTCCAAGGGTTCGAGAGGATTGTCTATTTTCTTCGTAAATATTATCTGGAAATCAACGATCACGCTGCCTTGTCTGGGAAAAAAAAAAATGCAGCTAGCATACTTGCCAATCACATATCAACAGTTATCTTAAAAAATCATACCTGAGCTCTTTAACCATGACAAAACTAAATCCGGGAAGTTGTTTGTAAATATCTCTGATCTGTAAAATATGAACACACAAATACTTTCACAAACTCATCACCGCAAATTATAACGATACATTTCTTGGTTCCTACCTCCGCAATAAGTCGAGAAACGAGATTCTTATATTCTTTCGATGTTTTCTTTGCCAATTTTTCATTCCATTGTTGGTTCGTCAGTTTAATTGAAGAGTCCACAGAATTTTTTTCTACGATTGGAAAAGTATTATAATCTTCTAAGACTTTTAAGACTATTCTCGTTCGTTCCATCCCCTTTAGTATACTAAACGTTGTTAAACAGTATTTTACCTTTGGTAGTATCAAGTTCACAGGTTTTCCCATCTCCTTTGAATAAAGGCGGGCAAGTTTCACAAGTAAATCCTTCGGAATTCTGAGCGGGTGAGCACGTGAGACCTAAATAACATGGCCGTTCATCGCATGGATTTGGACGAATTTCGCACAAGTTTCCTGAGAACGGAGCCTTGCATTCACACAGATAATCTGATGGTTTCGTTGGATATTCAACGCTTTTCTTTTGGTAACATTTACCACCGTGTTCACATAGGCATTGCATGGCATTCACGTGAAGAATTAGCACGTTCCTTCCACCCAACACATCTTCAACTTGAACATAGACTGTTCCGTTCTTTCCACTTAGCGATATATCCATGCGTCCATCTTTTGTGATCGAAGCGGAACTTAGGCTTAATGATCCATTCGCCAACAAAGTAAATGTGATTTTATGATCTTCAGGGTCCTCGGCTTTGATCTGAACTCGCAAAGACTCTTCGTAGATTCCAAGTAACATATTTGGCGTCGAAAATTGAGGTGGTTTGTTCTCTGAAAGGAATTACTTTTTAGCATCGAAGTTTTGATCACGGAATCATTATGACCACATCTTACCTGTACAGTTTTTACCATCTCCTAAATATCCCTGCCTGCATTCACAAACATATCCAGGCACTGTATTGTTACATCTCGCGTGCTCGTGACAAGTAGACTGTGCGCATTCATCTATATCTACGGTATAAACGGTGTCAGTAACGAAAAACAAAATCATTTTGTTTTTAGTAATATCAGGGGCCGGTTGTACGAAAGCTGTTTTGTCGGGAGGTTTTATTTACAAATTTTACCTGTACAATTTGCACCGTTTCCAGTGAATCCTGTCTTGCAAAGGCAGGAGAACGAGCCCGGAGTATTTCTACAATTGGCCTGAGGATTACACACATCCGGAGTATGCGCACATTCATTGATATCTGAAGGTTTAGAGAGATTAATTCTAAATAAGGAATAAGCTAGCCAGACGCTGGAAAACACGTTCTAGTTCTGCAACCATCCTTCACTAGCTCTGCTTTAAAAACATGATTTAATTTGAGCGCGTCATGACTTGTATTAAAGAGAATTTAAAACTCAGGTTGGCAAAACATTTCTACTGACCAGAACAGTTATTTCCACCATCACCAGTAAAACCTTTCGCGCAGACACAGAAGTAGCTTCCTTTGGTATTGATGCAAGTGGCATGCTTAAGACAGCGGTGTCCCATACACTCGTCCACATCTAAATAATGAAAACATTTTGAATCAACGAACTATGCTGGTAAAATAGACCCATTTATCTCCTGGACATATTGTGACTAATCTACAGTTATTCGCATGATCATTTTGTGTGTTGCAATGGGACAGTTGAACTCTGGCTTAGACACAGAGCAACAGCACATCAAGAACTAAATGCTATCATATACCTGTACAATTCTCGCCATCTCCAGTGTACCCATCAATACACCTACACTGGTACGATCCATTGTAAAACTTACAACTGGCGTTGTTGTGACAGACTTTGGGATTCTCTATGCATTCGTCTACCTCTGCGAATATTAAAACAGTGCATAGTTTAGAGAAATAAAAACTTATTTTCTTGCTAAAGCAACTGAACCAGTTTGATAAATTTGATACACAAAGTTTATCATAAGTAATTGATAGTTTCTCAACACTCACTTCCATCAACTCTGCTACAGTTATACTTTCCATCGCCAGTATATCCAGGGGGGCACGGACCACAGCTAAAACTAGCGATTTGGTCCGTACAATTGACACCAGGGAAGCAAGGGTCTGATTCGCACTCATCTATCTATGAAAGTAGAAATGCGGCATATAAGACAAAAATCTCTAATAGTTTGGCTTGCAAAACTGTGCATTCTGAAGGTTTAATAGGAGTCAAATTGATCCAGTGTTACCACAGATGAAACGATAATTATAAATAAACTAACTTTATTTATATTGGATAGCTCTATCAGTTCTAAACTGTTCTTCCTAGAGGTCTAGTAAGGATCATCTCTTATTGATCCAATGTTACTACCGGAGGAAACCTAAACTAAACTAACTTTATTTATACTGGATAGCTCTATCAGTTCTAAACTGTTCTTCCTAGAGGTCCAGTAAGGATCATCTCTTATTGATCCAGTGTTACTACAGGAGGAAACCTAAACTAGACTAACTTTATTTATACTGGATAGCTCTATCAGTTCTAAACTGTTCTTCCTAGAGGTCCAGTGAGGATCATCTCTTATTGATCCAGTGTTACTGCAGGAGGAAACGTAAACTAAACTAAGTACATATGTCTATCAGTTCTAAACTGTTCTTCCTAGAGGACTGGTGAAGCTGATTTCTTTCTAATGAGGTAACATCAGTGAGTAACTTTACCTCAGTCTGACAAAGGCGACTAGTGTATCCTTGAAAGCAGGAACAGGAGAAGCCAGGTTTTTCATTAACACAACTTCCATTATGACAAGGATTTGAAGCAGCGCACTCGTCAACATCATCTTCACACAGGTCACCCGTATACTCAGCAGGACAGGAACACGTGAAGTTCCCAGCTCCATCGAGATAACGATAGTCTGGCTGACATTCACCTGAATTCAAGCAGGGACAGTCCTTCAATACTACAGATACATTAAGAGTAGAATACGCTCCACATTCGTCGGTAACATTAAAGACAAACGCCGTGGTTCCTCTGTCGTTTTTAGTCCAGGTGAATGATCCGTTTTTAGACAAAGTTGCTCCAAATGTTTTGCTTTGTGCAAAGCTGTACTGGACTGTGCGATTCTCTGGATCGTTAGCGCTCAATTGTACGCGAAGCTGTTTGCCTTTGAACGCATAAAACACACTGGACGATGTTAAAATTGGTGGTCTGTTATCTATACAAATGGCAGAAAAATTCACAAATATTAGAATTTTTGGGATAGAAATAAATATAATATTTTTGGGTCGAGAAGTTAATTTCTTTCCCATTTGTAATTACTCTATTGTCTTAACTCATGAGAATGTACTTTTGATACATCTTCAAGAAACCCTTCAACGAAGCATTTTTACCTTTGCGTTTTGACCAGGAAGTAGTCGACAATTCTGGCAAGCATTGTTGACACCAATCACGTGGGTTACTGCCGTTCATAGCGAAACAGTGACCAGATATGATGCAAGCATCAGCCTTTTTGTGAAGACATAAAAAAGAATAAAAAATTCAATTAGCGTGGCAATGCGGCATCGAGTGATATCTTAACCAAATAGAGTGGCGTCATTAAGTCACGACGAGCTCTTCTTTCCCTTCAAGTTCTGCCTACGATTTGTGGTACAGGAATTTACATTGATCAATTTTTTTCTCAAAAAAGAGGTAGAAATTTAGTCGACCGGTCTTGGAGCCCAAAGTGATTCATACGAAGAATTATTAATTTTCTCTGGTTGTCAGGCTGTCAACATTGGTATTTCCCGTTTGGTAGATGGGGAATAGCGTGATAATAATTATGTAACAAAATTTTACAATAGTGATGTATAGAAAGAAATAGGCTACTACACATACTCGAAGATGACAGCCTACAGTCGTGTTGCACTCTTGACACACAGAATCATACGTTATAAATAACACGGAGTCTTTGGAGGCGTTGATGCGGTTGTTTGAAATCGCAATCTTCAGTCCAGCGGCTGTTACGCCTTCGTTGCCATAGTCACCGATATTTACTGGGGATTCTGGCAGCGAACATTTCACTTCAGTGAGGTCGACCAGTTGTCCTGGGTATAAGGTCCTTGAATTGCTGGGTTTCCATACTGAGTCTATGACCTGTGTAAAGAGATCGACACTGTTTTGGGGTGATTGTTCACTCTTTCGTAAGGTGGTAGAGCTGGTCAGAGATGTTATGAAATGAAGAGATCAGAAGAAGATGTGAGATGGTAGACATTGCAGAGAAGATGAGGGAAGCAAGGTTGAGATGATATGCATGGACACGTAATAAAAAGAGATGAAGGAGAACTGGTCAGAGATATTATGAAATGAAGAGATTAGAAAAAGATATAAACTACAAAAACTTGAAACATTTTAAAACTTGATATGAGATAAAGAAAGATACGATGCCACTTACCTTATATTCTTGGACATGGCAGGTAAGGTTCTCTGAGTCCAACAACGGGAAACCAAACACACCAACATTCCGACATGGTCTTCGCCGTCTGTCACACAATCCTGACTTGCGGATATCAAAGACGAGTGGACTGTCTTTCAATGAGATTGAACAATCTGCAGCGGTGTAATCTTCGTGGCAAATGCACGTTGAATTAACGCAATCTCCCTTGTCTGAGCAGTCATTTGGACAAAGCGATGAGAGGATGTCTGTATCCAGTTCAATACTTCCGTCAGTTGTGTTCTTGAACGACGAAATATTGTTGAAAATATTTGCAATGCAAGATGTTTCCAACGCCGCAAAGTTACCTGCTGCCCACGAGAAATCTTCAGTCGCCTTGTAAGATACAAAAAGAGTACATTTTCAATCATTCAGGGCCTTAAGCAGTGGTTAAACTTGTTAGTTCAGAGTTTTAACTGACGTGCGAATTCGTCAGACTTAATAGTGAGTTGTGGATTCAGTTCTCCTGAAGATTAATTTGCCAAGGGAAATATTAGCTACCTGTATATCAGTTATACACTGTTGTACCAAACCATCCACATCTACCCCTTCAACTTGCCCACAGGCAGCCCCAGCTTTGGAGTAACGCAATTTTTTCTCGCAAAACTGTGTGACATTATCCTTAGTTATCCCTGAAGGTGTCGGCCACGTCAGTGTTAAATTAACCCTGGTTACTGTTGGATTAAATGACGGGATGGCGTCTTGATCATCCACTGTGTCATCGTCCAGCATCAACGCGCGCTTAGGACGATTTGGGCACTTTCCTTTTTGGCAAAAGTTGGAATAAAAAATAATGTTCTTCAGCAAAAACAATACGAGACAAATAAAACATTAGCCTATTTTCGTTTTAAAACTTAAGTTTTTCCTGACATAGTAATCTAGTGTCACACAGTTGAATTTGCACAGATTTTTCTCGATAGAAATCTGTGCACTCTCCTTAGTTCTTGGCATGCGCAAATGAGAAGAAATGTTCATTTCTTTTGTACAATCAAAAACAACACTAGAAATTCAGAAAGTTATTTTATTACAACTTCAGTTTAGAACTTATAAAGCTATCCAGTATAAATGAAGTTAGCCGTTTAGGTTTCCTCCTGTAGTAAATGCTAGCTTCCACTGCAAATTTCTGCAAAATACAATAGTTCGCTGGTCAAACTCATACAAGTGCTCACATTACTTTGACAAGTTTTTTTTGTTGACTCATACACACGAGCGAAATTTTTTCTTTTACAAGTACACTTGTTCAAAATCAAGTATACTTGATTTTAAACAAGTTTACTTATAGAAAAAATTGTCAAAGTCGGGCATACAGACGAACAATTAAAACTTGTCACATAAAAACTTGTCATAGAAAACTTGCTCGTCTGTAAGGGGCTTAAATAGAGTTGGCTTAGTTCTCGTATTATAACAACCTGTATACGGCATTAAGGCTTAATCAAGAAGCTACTAAGTGTAATTATTGTAAGGCCGTCATTTACCGATTCCTGATCCTTTGTGATGATTTCTGTTATTAAGAGAGCCTAAATTTGGGAAACAGTAGCGCTCAGCCCCAGAGCCGCAAATCCTCTTTCGATTTCTTGAACAAACGCAGATTTTCTGATTACAACCATCGTCGATTTGATCTTCTTCAAATTTTTTGCCCTTGTAGTCAAACAGTGTTACATCAGAGCGGACTCTTCAAAAAAAGTTGATAAAAAGAAAATTAGAAAGCGATATTTACAGATAAAAACGCTCATTTTTTTTTATAAGGAATGGTGTTTAAACAATTTTTGCCAATGTACCTCCAATGTTCTCCAAATTGATTCGGGGAGTTCCACCGTCCAAAGTCATCATTGTCATTGCCATTATTATTGCCGCACAAACCTTCGCTCGGATGTTCAAGATCAGCAGGTGCAAAAACATTAATATTTAACCCCCAGTATTGACGATCCACGATGACTTTCACACCAGACGGCAAAGTGATCTTGACAGAAATGAATTCAATATTAAAATTTTTTAGTAGAGAACGTTAGAATAAAAGTTATTCTAAATTACTTCTCAAATTACACTTAAAGAAACTGGATTCAAAACTCAAAAGGAACTAAACTAAACTAACTTTATTAATACTGGATATAGCTCTATCAGTTCTAAACTGTTCTACTTAGAGGTCCAGTAAGGATCATCTCTTATTGATCCAGTGTTACTACAGGAGGAATCCTAAACTAAACTAACTTTATTTATACTGGATAGTTCTATCAGTTCTGAACTGTTCTTCCTAGAGGTCCAGTAAAGATCATCTCTTATTGATCCAGTGTTACTACAGGAGGAAACCTAAACTAAACTAACTTTATTTATACTGGCCGGGTAACTCTATCATGCAGCTTAAACTGTTGTAAGGATTACTGACCCAGTGTTACTGCAGACCTCTATTAAATGCTACGTTAATTTTTTATCTTTTTTGTACCTCGAATTTTGTTGCTGAGCCTTGTTGGTTGATATTCGAATAAAATCTGCTGAGTTTGAAGTCGCGAAGTTGATGAGTTCTAAGACGGGACCTGAGGTTGTTTTCCCACCAAGGACGACCAGGAGTTGTGTAGCACATGTCATAGATCTTGTAGAATAGATTTTCTCTGATGGCGACGCCACAATTACAGCTTGGTGTTCCACCATTACACGCTCTTTGCCGTACCTGAATCTATAGGAAACATCCGCACGATCCGCTCAAACGAGAACAAGAGTTGCATGAGAGTTGACTGGATATTACGCGCGGTAGCAGTCAAACAAGGGAAAACTGGCATCTCATCAGATTCGACAGCAAAGCGTGGCAATAGTTTTGATGGTGGTTAAAATCTATTCATAAAAACTCCTGACCTCTGTTCCGTAATGTTTATTTCCATACAATAAAAACGTTCCTCTGCCATAGAAATCGTATCGTCTGAATGAAAAAGAATTTATATATTTTCACTTGATTGAAGGGCTCAGTGAAAATTATAGCAAAACAATTTTAGAGCTGACATGTGCAAATGTATTTTAAACTGAGCTTGAATATTAACTGACTTGTCGTCAAATGTCTTGAAGTGTGGATCTCCTGCAGACCAACATTCTTGCTTTTTGTACTTTTGTTTTTTTAACTATACATAAATAGATTGATAGCTTAAATTAATAGATAAATAACTTTGAATATAGAAGTAATGTTTCCTGGTTTGTCTACCTTCATAAAACATGGTTAGGAAACAATGTTTCCTGGTTTGTCCACCTTCATGAAACATGGCTAGGAAACAATGTTTCCTGGTTTGTCTACCTTCATGAAACGTGGCTAGGAAACAATGTTTCCTGATTTGTCTACCTTCATGAAACATGCCTAGGAAACAATGTGGGCTTCTGGTTTGTCTACCCTCATGAAACATGGCTAGGAAACAATGTTTCCTGGTTTGTCTACCCTCATGAAACGTGGCTAGGAAACAATGTTTCCTGGTTTGTCTACCTTCATGAAACATGGCTAGGAAACAATGTCTCCTGGTTTGTCCATCTTCATGAAACATGGCTAGGAAACAATGTTTCCTGGTTTGTCTAACTTCAGGAAACATGGCTGGGAAACTAGCGCACTTTGAAGAAATATGTATTGTTATTCTTAGCACTAGATAAGCAACTATATATAGCTGTAGAGTATATGGCCGGTTTTCCATAAGCATCAATTTTGGCGCGAAGCGACATTTAACTTATTATTTTCACTTTTCTTAACTGCAATCATCTGGAACAAATTGCTCAAATACAAAAGAATAAAGTCGCTTCGCAGGAGAAATATCGCTAGTAGAATACCGGCTTAAAAAGAGTATAAAATATATTTTGTTTTAATGGGAACGACTGCGAGTCTGTAACTGTTATTGCGGCATTAATCTTTTTATTTTGGGATAACAGTAAATGCACTATCTAGTGTGATATTACTGATATAACTATGACAAAACTTACTTGTATTTCTGGGAACGTATACTGCACCCAAAATCTATTGATTTTAGTGATGTTCTCGAAGTGATGCTGCAGTTTGTATGTAGAGAACTCATTCTTGACTCCGCTCCCCGTTCCACAAGTCGTCATCAATTTAAACCTCAACGGTCGCCCAACCCGATGTCCTGCGTCGAAAACGATCCCACAGTCCTGGAAGAATTTTTTTTCACCGACAACGCATATTTCGTCGATGAGTTGATTACGTCTTGGTGAAGCAATGTCAATCGTAACAGGTTTTACACGTATTGGAAGATGAGGTCTTACGGTAATGACAACTTCACGATCACTTTCGCCGCAATCTTTGAGCAGTGGGATAAATGTCGGAGTTACCTGCGTAATTCCAAATATATGGATATATGCATTATTTCTTCAACAATTTTATATCGCAACTAAGTTTAATTAAACTGGGTTCTTTCTTACAAACCTCCATTCCTGTGTAAATTTGTTTGCTCGGAACCCATTTTGACCAACTGCCAGTCTTGAAACGAGCCCGGACTGAACAATAGACCTTTAAAGTAAAGTGATGTTAAGTAGCACCACCTAAGGGTTTTTTGTGGCGACGTATATTTTCTCTTGGGGAAAATGTTGTGGTTAAAATAGCAGTTATACATAATGTCATATCATCTTACTGTTGATTTTATCATCCTTTTATTAATGAACGAAGTCACATAAACCAATCGTGGTGTATGTTAATCACGTACTTTATGTTCAACTTACCCTTTTATGGAAAAAATAACCAGTCGTCTTGTGCTCACTCAGGTAGGCTGGGTGGAACAGGAATTCTGGATTCTCCAATCCAGTGAAATTCCTTTGGATTTTTGGTACCAGATGGGTAGTATCGCCAAACCATCGCGCTTCATACTCGGTATTTGATACGTTTCCATGACTTGTCCAGGTACATTTTAGTCTTACTTCTTGAGTATCCTCTTCCTTAAAACCCGCTTCAACTACGACACGTGGTATCACGCCTGTGTAGAATAAAGGAATCTTAAATCTTGAATTTATCATACCATAATAGACACATGACAGACACCATAATATAGCACAAATTAAAAAGCGATAATGCAATATAATACAATTTTGATTATAGGGTTTAAAAAAGATTTTAATCTTAATAAAAGTTAATTAAAAAATTTCTAAATTGAGTGAATTTTAAAAAAGAATAGCAGAATTATGAATATTGAATGTTTTCCATGCTGAAGGGCATAAACACGTGATATGCTACTGGTTGTATAGTCTGTTTTAGAGAGGTATCTGTATTAGAGAGGTGTCTGTATTAGAGAGGTGTCTGTATTAGAGAGATGTCTGGATTAGAGAGATGCCTGTATTAGAGAAATGTCTGTATTAGAGATATGCCTGTATTAGAGAGATGTCTGTATTAGAAAGGTGTTTGTATTAAAAAATGCCTGTATTAGAGAGGTGTCTGTATTAGAGAGATGTCTGTATTAGAGAGATGTCTATATTACAGAGAGGCCTGTATTAGAGAGATGTCTGTATTAGAGAGATGTCTGTATCAAAGAGATGTCTGTATTAAAGAGATGTCTGTATTAGAGAGATGTTTGTATTAGAGAGATGTTTGTATTAGAGAGATGTTTGTATTAGAAAGATGTCTGTATTAGAGAGATGTTTGTATTAGAGAGATGTCTGTATTAGAGAGATGTCAGTATTAGAGAGATGTCTGTATTAGAGAGATGTTTGTATTAGAGAGATGTTTGTATTAGAGAGATTTTGTATTAGAGAGATGTCTGTAT